TCAATAGTTATAACTAATACAAATAGATTTAGACATGTTAAAAAACCTTCCAGGTTTGTCTAAATCTATTTGTATAATAAAGGCTTACATGTATTAGAGTTATATGATTGAAGAACATCCCGTAAGGGTTAGTAGGATTAGAAGTCCCTTTAATTGTTCTTGAATATACTCTTTCAACTTCAAAGGTTGATGTGCTTTACACTTTTATTCAACAAGGCTTTTGATTCTTACCCTATCAAGATAAACCCTGTTCGGTTAGGCCTTATCCTATAGCTATATATATTGCACCCATTCTTAGTATTATTGTGGCTGCGTTTAATTTTTTCTTACTAATTGGTAATATTATTAGTTGTTCTTTTATGGGCCTTATTGTTATTTCTTTTACTAGTATAGATAAATATACGAATATTATGAAACATGCTGATGTTACTAGTATTATTGCTGTTTCTGATGGTATTCTGTTTTCTATTATTGTTTTTAGTACTATAATCTTTGCCCAGAATATGGCTATTGGGGGTAATCCTCTTAAGTTCGCTGTTGTTATAGAGTGCGATCAGAATCTGGTATTTATTATTTTTGTTTTTCTTTCTACTTTTTTTAATGCTTTTATTACTATTATCAGAGTGATTGAGTATACCATTAAAAAATAGCACAGACATGTTGTAGATATAGCAGCACTCACCATTAATCATCTGTTATTGTTTAAAGATGATAGAGCTAATATTTTTTTTATTCTTAATTCTTTTATTAGTTTTTTTAGGGGGGTTACTAGTGTTAGCGCCCTTAAGATTAAGATTACTAATAATATTACTTTTCTCTTTGTTTGTACTCTTATAATAATTCTTAGTGGTAGGATCTTTTGTCATGTTATTACTATAAATATTGACTTTTGTTTTATTTTTATGTGGTTGATTAATTTTATGTATCACAGATGTATTGGTCAAGCCCCTATTTTTGTCAGTGCAGCTATTATTATTATTGTGTTACTTATTCATCTTCTTTTTACCCTGCATGATAAGATTACTATTACTGAAGTTCTTACTTGCACTAAGTAATAGGTTATTGTTATTATATTTTTTCTTTTTTCTCTTCTTGTTTCTTTTGATATCATTCAACACATTGCTAAGGTGTTAATTTCTAATCTTATTCATATAAGTAACCACCTTCTCCTGGATACTCCTATTATCGATGAGGCTATTAGAATTCTTATTATTCCTCTGTTTTCTTTAACTTTGAAAAAGTTATGTTCATTTAAACTATAGGGGGTATTTTTACTTATAGTATTAATACTGTAGTGAAATATCTTAGGGTAAGTACTTGTCCAATTTCTGTAAATGGCGGTTCTACTGGGTTAGCTCCTACTCATGTTAGTAAAATTACTAGAATTACGAATGTTCAGAATTTTGTTTTTTTTATAGGTGAGAATTTTTTTCTTATGCTGTTTGATTTTATTCTTAGTGGTACTAGAATGATAATGGCAAGTACTATCGCTAGCACTCCCCCCAATTTTGATGGGATAGCCCGTAGGATTGCATACGCGAATAAAAAATATCACTCAGGTTGGATATGTGCTGGGGTTGTTGTTATTCTAGCTTCGTTGAAATTTTCTACGTCTCCTAGAAGGTTGGGCGTGTATGCTGTTATTACTCTTAAGCATAATATCAATATTAGTGCTGGTGTGGTGTCTTTTACTAAAAAGTACGGGAAGAATTTTATTTTATCATAATCTGGGTTTGATCCTGTTGGGTTAGATGATCCTCTTTTGTGTAACAAAATTAAATGTACTATAGCTATAGCTGCTACTAATAGTGGGATTAGGAAGTGAATTGAGAAGAATCGGTTTAAAGTTGGTTGTGATACAGAGAAGTTTCCCCATAATCATTGTGTTACTTCTTTTCCTACATAAGGGATTGCTGTGATTATACTAGTGATTACTGTGGCACCTCAGAATGATATTTGTCCTCAGGGTAGTACATACCCTATAAATGCTGCCCCTATTGATGCTAGTATAATTACTACTCCAGATGTTCACACTATTGGTATTTTTGTGTGTGAGTTAAAGTATAGTCCCCGTCTAATATGAATATACATGATTATGAAAAATAAAGAGGCCCCGTTTATATGGAGGTACCGTATTGTCCACCCTGAATCGATGTCTCGTAGGATGTGAATTACTGACTCGAAAGCTACTCTTGTTGAGGCTACGTAGTTTATGGAGAGTACTAGCCCTGTGATGATCTGTAATACTAGAGTTATTCCTAGTAAAAATCCTATATTTCACATAAAAGAAATAGATAGAGGAGTTGGGAGCCCTAGTAGCGATGTTTTTGCTATTGTAAGTAGGGGATCAGTTATGGCTAAATTATATTTTTTCATTTTATTGTATGATTTCCTTAAAATTCTAAATTTTATGCAATAGTTTGCTTTTACAATTTTTTTATTGGATGGAAATAACTTTTTTTGCATTAAGGTTTTAATAACCAACCTTTAATATAGCATAAATTATTAATGTGAAGAGTTTAAGCCTCTTAGATTTTTATTAAAATTGTACGGTGATTTATGTCTACGAATCATAAAGATATTGCTACTCTTTATTTTGTTTTTGGTGTTTGGTCTGGAATACTAGGCACTAGTTTTAGTTCCTTAATTCGTTTTGAATTAACACAACCTGGTGATTTCATGCTTGATTTTGATTATTATAATTCTGTTGTTACTGCTCATGCCTTTATTATAATTTTTTTTATAGTTATGCCTATTATGATGGGTGGTTTTGGTAATCTTTTAGTTCCAGTTATAATCGGGGCTACGGATATGGCTTACCCCCGTTTAAATAATATAAGATTTTGGCTTTTACCTCCTTCTTTATCCCTTCTTGTTAGGTCTGCCGTAGTTGGTTCTGGGGTTGGTACAGGGTGAACTGTTTATCCTCCTTTGTCTAATGGGATTTTTCACTCAGGTCCCGCTGTTGATTTTGGTATTTTGAGGCTGCATATTGCTGGGGTTTCTTCTATCTTAGGTGCTATTAACTTTATTGTTACTATTTTTAATATAAAAACTTTGGGTATGTTATGATCTAATGTTCCTTTATTTGTTTGATCAGTTTTGATTACTTCATTTTTGTTGGCTTTTTCTCTTCCTGTTTTGGCTGCTGCTTTAACTATGCTTTTAACTGATCGTAATTTTAATACAACTTTCTTTGACCCTGTAGGTGGGGGTGATCCTATTTTGTACCAACATTTGTTCTGGTTTTTTGGTCATCCTGAGGTTTATATTCTTATTCTTCCAGGTTTCGGTATTATTTCTCATACTGTTAGTTTTTATAGTAATAAGACTGAGCCTTTTGGTAGTTTGGGTATGATTTACGCCATGATTTCTATTGGTGTTTTAGGTTTCATTGTTTGAGCCCACCATATGTTTACGGTTGGGTTGGATGTTGACACACGTGCTTATTTTACTGCTGCTACTATAATTATTGCTGTTCCCACGGGTGTTAAGGTTTTTAGTTGATTGGCTACCATACTTGGGGGTAAGTTAGATTTTAGCCCTTCTTTTTACTGGTCGGTGGGTTTTGTTTTTCTTTTTACTGTTGGTGGATTGACTGGTGTTACTTTATCTAACTCTTCTCTTGATGTTAGGCTTCATGATACTTATTATGTGGTTGCCCACTTTCACTATGTTCTTTCTATGGGTGCAGTTTTTGCTATTATAGCGGGGATTACACATTGGTTTCCGTTTGCTTATGGTTTGTCTATAAATCCCTATCTGCTGAGGGGTCAGTTTTGAAGTATGTTTTTAGGTGTTAACTTGACTTTTTTTCCTCAGCATTTCTTAGGCCTTAATGGCATACCTCGACGTTATTGTGATTATCCGGATAGTTTTACTTATTGGAATACTGTTTCTAGGGTTGGTAGTATTATTACTATTTTTTCTATTGTTTTTCTTGTTTATATTGTTTGGGAGTCTTCTTCCAGTTCCCGGGGTTTATCTTCTTTCGTTTCTTCGGATTCTATTAATGAATTAATAATTGATTCTCCTTTTCCGCCACACACTAATGTTGAGTCTTGTAGAGTTGTTGGTGGTGTTGTTATTATTTAGTTTTTAAAATGCCTAGATGATTGTCTTTGGGTTTTCAAGATAGTAGTTCTTCTGGTATAGGTGAGCTTTCTTGTCTTCATGATCATGTAATAACTATTATATTTAGTGTTATTATTCTTATTTCTTATATTATGTTTTACTTGCTTGTAAATATTAAGTATTACAAGTTTTTATCTGAGGGCACTTTTATTGAGACTATTTGGTCTATAATTCCCGCTTTTTTACTAATTGTGTTAGTTTTACCTTCTATGAGAGTTTTGTACATAGTGGAGGACGTTAAATCTCCTGTTTTGACATTTAAGGTTGTTGCTCATCAATGATATTGAAGTTATGTTGTTCCTTTGTTTAAGAATTTTTCTTTTTTTACTGATGGTGGGGATAAGTTTTGTTATTATGAGTTTGACTCTATAGGGGATAGGTATGACCCTGATGGGTGTTCTCCTCGTTTATTAGGTTGCTCTTCTGATTTTTTTATTCCTGTTAATACTACCTCTCGTCTTTTAATTACTTCTACGGATGTAATTCATTCTTTTGCTTTGCCTTCTCTTGGTTTGAAGGTTGATGCTCTTCCCGGGCGTATTAATCAGTTATTTACTAACTCTTCTCGTGTGGGTTATTTTTTTGGTCAATGCTCTGAGATTTGTGGCTCTAACCATTCTTTTATGCCTATTAGTCTTAAGGTTTGTTCCTTATCGGATTTCGATTCTGTTTCTAAGAGGTATATTCTTGATCTTTTAGGGGATTCTTTAGTTTTTTACTTTTAGTTTTTAAGCTTTAGTTGACAATAATATAGTCTTGTCAAGGCTAAGGTTAATAGCTTAATCCTTCCTCAAATAATACCTCTTCCTTGGTTATTAGTTTTTTTCTTTATTTTTTCTTGTTCTTATTCTGTTTTTTTGTTTATCTCTTATTTTTATTTTGATTCTTTTTTACTTAATAAGGTGGTTAAGCCTAGACTTGTTTGCCTTCCTTGGTAGTTGACTTTAAATGATAATAACTAATTTGTTTTCTATTTTTGACCCTTCTCTTAGTTTATTTTCTTTTTCCTGATTAATATGTTTACTCGTTATTTTTTTACTCCCATCTTTTTTTTGGCTTGGGGGTTTACTATCTAATTCACTTTTTGGTTTATTAATGCTAGTTAAGGGGGAGATAGACTATGTGCTTAAACATCCTGTTAAAGGTTGTTATTCTTTCATTGGTTTTATTTTTATCACTATTGGTCTTTATAATTTTTTGGCCCTTTTTCCTCATCTTTTTTCTGTTACTTCTCACATATTAGTCACTCTTCCTTTTTCTTATTCTTTTTGAAGAGCTATTATTTTTTCCAGGTGGGTTAGTTCTTTTAGTCATTTTTTAGCGCATTTAATTCCTTCCGGTACTCCTATAGCCTTAATGGGTTTTATGGTTTTGGTTGAGCTTCTTAGTAATTTAATCCGTCCCTTAGCTTTAACTTTTCGTCTTACTGCTAATATAATAGCTGGTCATCTGTTGATGTCTCTTATCGGGGGAGCCCTTATTTCTCTGTCTTTTAGTTTTATAGTCCTAGGTAGTTTAGTACAATCTTTGTTAGTTTTCATAGAGTTGGGGGTGTCTTTAATTCAGGCTTATGTATTCTCTACTTTGCTTCTTCTTTATTTGTCTGAGGGGGAGCATTAGTTTTAAAATGAAAAAATTTAATCCGTTCCATTTAGTTAATGTTAGTCCTTGGCCTTTTTTAACTTCCTTTTCTTTTTTAAGTTTTGCCTTAGGTGTCATTATTATGGTGCGTTCTTTTTATTGCACCCCTTTCTTATTTTCTTTATTTCTCCTCTTGTTTTCTTCTTTTCTTTGGGGACGTGATGTTCATCGGGAGGGTTGTTATGAGGGGTGGCATAATTTTGAGGTTACAGTTGGACTTAAAGTTGGTATAATTTTATTTATTCTTTCTGAGTGTTTTTTCTTTTTGGGTATATTTTGAGGTTATTTACACTTAGCTGAGGCTCCTGCAGTAGATCTTGGTGGTATATGACCTCCAGTTGGTGTCTTTTCTTTTGACCCTAAGGGGATTCCTTTTTTAAACACTATTCTTTTAGTCTCTTCTGGTGTTTCAGTTACTTGAACCCACCATGCTATAGAGATTGGTGATTTTAAGTCTAGCTTATTTTCTTTATTATTAACTGTTATTCTTGGTGCTACTTTTACTTCTTTACAACTTTTGGAGTATTATGTAGCTAGTTTTACTTTTGGTTGTTCTTCCTATTCTTCAGTTTATTTTATGGGTACTGGTTTTCATGGTCTTCATGTTTTAATTGGCAGGGTTCTTCTTTTTATTTGTTTATTCCGATTTTCTTTTCTTACTGTTAGTCCTGGCCATAGTGTGGGTTTTGAATGTTCTGTCTGGTATTGACATTTTGTAGATATCGTTTGGTTTTGTCTTTATCTTATCTTTTATTGATGAGGTGTTTAATATCTAACCTTTTAGTATATTTTTGTATAACTAATTTCCAATTAGGGGGTTTTAAGGGTTATTAAGTTTTTTTGTTATATTTTTTTTTGTCTTTTTTTACTTTTTTTTCTTCTTATTATTGTATTTTGTGTGAGATTTTCTTTGGAGAAATCTTTTGAGGATAAGACTTCTTCATTCGAGTGTGGTTTTCAGCCTTTTATGGGTTTTAGATTTTCCTTTTCTATGCCTTTTTTTGTAATTTCTTTGATGTTTCTTCTTTTTGATGTTGAAATTCTCTTAGTTAGGTTCTATCCTCTTTTATTTTCTTTTTTCTTTTATTCTAATCTTTATATAATATGTGTTTTATTACTAATTCTTTTTTCTACCATTTTTGAATGGTTTAAAGGAGTTCTATCTTGGGTCTAATCGGGGGATTTAGCTTTTATAATTAGTTTCGACCTGATTTTTTATTGGCTAGCGTTAGGCAAAATATCTTAAAGCTTAAAGCTTAGGGGCTCATAATCTCTAGATTTTAGTTATTGCCTTTAATTTATTAAACTTTGAAAGTTTATTCTGGGATTTTCCCTGATGGCTTATTTCCCTTTAATTTTTAGATTTGCAGTCTAATGTTTCTATTAACTTTGGGGACTTTTCTAGGGATATTCTATGTAAGATTACGGCTTTGGGGGTTGTAGAATTTACCCTTGTTTTCTGATAAGTTTTTACTAGGAGTTGTAAACTCTTTATGTTATATTATCCACATCCTTAAGATATTCTTAATCTATATGTCTTTTAAACATATTAAGCCTTGGCAGGTTGTCCCATGTTTAGTTTAATAATATCTCTTTGTTAATGAGAAGGTTTAATCTTGGCTGTTTGATGGAAGTTTTTGTTTGGTTTAAAAATTTATTTTATGGGGATTAATTATTTTTCCAATAGTTTATTTTGTATAAATTTTGTTATAGACCTTAAAGACAAAGTTTGTGCCAGCAGTCGCGGTCATACTCTATTTAAAAAATCTTTTTCTTTCTAAAAATTATCTTTTACTTTTTTTATTTGGGTGGAATTTATAAATTTTTTTATTTTGTTGAGGTTGTGTAGTTAGAGGGAGGACTAGGATTAGAGACCCTACTACTCTAAGGTTACTTTTAAGTAGTATCATATTTTTTTAAACTTAATTTTTCTGGCGGTACACCACTCTAACAGAGGAGCTTGTTAATTTTAATTGATAACCCGCTATTATTTTTACCAATTTTTTTTTTATGTACGGCTGTTAAGCTTAAGGATTTAGCTGTTTGCTCCTATTATTTATTTTAACTTAGTTCAGGTCAATGTGTAAACTATAAGTTGGTCTATAATGAGCTACTTTTATTATTTTTTCTTATTAATTTGTTATTAAATTGGATTTGTTAGTAAACTAAAAATTAAACTTTTATTTGGTTTAGATTTTGGGGTAAGTACATATCGCCCGTCACTCTTTTGATAGATAAGTCGTAACAAAGTAGGGGTACTTGAAGGTGCCTCTTGTTTAGAGTTTTATTAGGTTTGCTTACAACAAAACTTTTTTTTACTCTTTTGTTTTCTTATTTTTTATACTTATCTTTATTTTATTATTTTATTTTTTTTATCTTTTTTTCCTGTGGGGGTTTATTTTTATTTTATTTTTACCTTTTGTATAAGGGGTTTTAGATTATTTAATCTTTTCTTGTTAGATTTAAGAGGATACTTATAGTTATTTTTATTGTTGTATTACTTTAAATTTCTTTAATGTAGTGACATGCTTTCGTCTCTTTGGGTATCTAGTTTTTTAAATTTTTTCGGAGGGGTAATCTTTCCTTGGGTGGTGTTTTATTTTTATTTTAAATTATGCTTTAATAGTAAGTATTTGTGTAGTAACTATTAGGTTTTTATTCACTTTTATTTTATTTTCATTAACTTTTTTAATTAGTTCATTAGTAGATTGTTTTTATTTTTCTTTTTTCTTACTATTTGTGTTTCTATATTTATTATCTTTACTTTTTGCTTTTTAAATTGTTTATTAAAATCTTATTCAGTCTTTTACTGGTTTTTTCTGCCCTATGGGATTTACTAAATGGCTGTGGTTTCCACACTAAGGTAGCGAAATCATTAGTTACTTTATTGGTAACTTGTATGAAAGGAGTATTTAAAGGGTTATTAATATTTTTTGTTGAACTTATATTTTTGTTGAAAATAACATAATTTTTTCTAAGACAAAAAGACCCTAGAATTTTTATGAGTTTTCTTATTTGGTTGGGGCAATATTTAGTTATTAATATTTTTATTTTTATTTTTTTTTGAACTTTTTTTAAAGATAGGTAGCTAAAATACTCTAGGGATAACAGCCTTATTATTTCTTTTAGTTCTTATTTTTGAAATTGTTTGGGACCTCGATGTTGGATTAAGAGTGCTTTTTGGTGTAGAGGCTTTTAAAGCTAGACTGTTCGTCTATTAAATTCTTACATGATCTGAGTTAAAGTCGGCGTGAGCCAGACTGGATTTTATCTAGATTTTTAACTGTTTACATTTCAGTACGAAAGGACCTTTTGTCAGGTATTTTACTTTTTGGGCTTTAGGTTAATTTAAACTGTACGTCTTCAAAACGTAAGATTATTTAAGCCTTTGGGGTAGGGGTTAAAGGATTTAGTAAAATAAGTATTAAAATTTTCTAAATCCTTATTAAACTGATAAGGATAAACATATTATAGCCAAGCTGTAGGGTAGACCTACTTTTCATGCTATTATTATTAAAAGGTCATACCGTACTCGGGGGAAGGAGCAGCGTACTCACACGAATAATACACACATGAGAAATGTTTTTATTATTAACCTACAAGTACCTAAGAATAAAACGCAGGTGATGAATCTTAAAAGTATTATTATACCATATTCTCTAATAAAGATAAAGGCGAATAATCCCCCTCCATACTCGATGTTAAACCCAGATACAATCTCTGATTCTCCTTCTGCTAGGTCAAATGGGGTTCGGTTAGATTCTGCTATACACATTATAAATCATACTATTAATAGAGGAGCTGAGTATAGTGCAAACCACAAGCCATTTTGGGTTGTTTTGGCTGATTCCATCCTAAAGGATTTAGTTACATAAATTATTACTAAGATAAACAACACTAAGCACACCTCGTAGGAGATAATTTGAGCTACTGCTCGGTGTCCCCCAACTAAAGCATATTTTGAATTTGACCCCCATCTAGTTAGTAGGAATGTGTAGGCGGATAGTCTTATAATAGCTAAGATTACTAGAATCCTAAGGGATGGGGTTATAGTGTTGAACCTAAATTTATACCACCCCCAGCAAGTTAGTATTAGTATAATCCCTGTGCATGGCCCTGAGTAAAACATCAATGTCTTTATGGTAGGAAATTTTGGGAATTCTTTGGTTAATAGCTTTAAGGCGTCTGAGATTGGTTGTGTAATTCCGGTTAAAACCACTTTGTTTGGCCCCTTTCGGTAGTGTATTAGGCCTATAAATTTTCGTTCTATTAATGTAAAGAAGGCAACACCTAGAAGTACTCCCACTACTGAGAATAAGAAGTCTAAAAAGTAGATTATGGTATTTACTGAATGGGTGATAACACTCATCAACCATTATATAATTGGGTTTAAACTAGGTAGATAAGATATGGTATTTATTGAATGGTGATAATATTTTACTCTTTAGTACGATTCTATTATTTTTTTTGTTGGGGTGAATATTCTTTTGTTGATGCATACTATTGCTATAATGATTACTGTTATTCCTATGCAGAGGAATCTTGTAGATCTTATTAATATTTCTGTAGTTTCGTTTCTTCTTGCTGTTTTAATTTTTCTTATTACACTTGTTATTATCCTGGTTGTAATTATTAATATTACAGTCGTTATCATTATTTTTTTTTTAATTAGGTTTTCTTTTTCGTGTTTTCTTAGTATTGCGCAGTAGCAAAATAGAATCATTATCCCTGAGGAAAAGGTTATAATAATAGCGCAAGTTGGAAATATGGAGGAGCTTTCTTGGTACGATCTTATACTAATTAATACGGATATAATAGTTACTGCAAAAGCTAAGTTGATTGGGGACATGATTCTTATTATTAACATTAGTCTTACTGTAATAATTGTTATTATTCCTCTTTATTCTTTTGATTTACAAGATCAATGTTTTTTAACTTTAAAGGAAAATGCTGCTGTTCTTTCTTATTTTTTTTGGTTTTCTTATCTTTTTTCTAGGTTCGTTACATTCTTTGATTATTTTACTTTTTGTTGAGGTTTTTATTTTAACTGTACTTTATTTGTTTTTTTCTTTTTTTTCTTGATTTTCTTGCTTGATGTACCTTCTTTACGCAGCTTGTTTAGGGGCTTATGGGGTTTCCTTGTTAGTCGGGGTATCTCGCTGTAAGGGGGATAATTATTTTTTGTCTTTTTAATGATAACAGGGTTATTTTTCTTTTTTTCTTCATTATTTGTTTTTTTTGATTTTTCTTTTTTGTTTTGAATTTTTCCTCTTCTTTTTTTTACTTGTTTTTATTTTTATGGTGGATTTTTTGATGGTATTTTTTTTTCTGATTATCTTTCTATGATCTTGGTTTTTGTTACTTATTGAGTTTTTCTTTTTTCTCTAATTTCTATAGGTTTAAGTTTTCATAGCCTTATAATTTTGTGGGTTATGTCTTTTCTTCTTTACTTGAGTTTTTTAGTTAACAGTTATTTGTTTTTTATGTTTTTTTTGAGTTTGTTTTTGTTTTAATGTTTATTTTTCTTTTAGGTTGAGGTAAAACTTCTGAGCGTTTGCAGGCCTCTTTTTATATATTTTTTATACTATGGTTTTTTCTCTTCCTTTTTTAGTCTTGCTTGTTAATTGTTTTTATCTTTACTCTGGTGATTACTATTCTATGATTTTTTTTGGCTATT